TTTTTTTTTTTAAATTGATCACGTGCTGCATTGCATTGATACTCAAGGTCAACTGGGTATTACTATCTTACGAGATGTTACATGCAATGTTAATCGTTTTGTAATACTGAACGATTTTCATCATTTTTAAATAAATTTTTTTTAATGTAATTTAATTTAATTTAAATATGTAATATTTTATCATGTGTGAAAGGTGAATTTTATTGCCAGAAATAAAAATAATCTTTAATATCAACTTTTTAAATATTTAATTATTTAATTATTTGAATTTTTTATAAATTAATTTGAATTAAGATATATGTTTAATAATAACATACTTTTAGATAATATATTTATATTTAACATTCTAATTATATTCCCAAATTTTAAATTTAATATTAATTATATTTAAATACACATTGTATGATACTTAAGTATATTTAATATACTAATGGTTATATAATTCTTATATTACTTAAGAATAATAATAATAACAATAATAATAATATTTGAACTGATATAATAACATAAAATATTTTTAATATATAAAAACATATATGATAATATTAAATAATAAAATAATATAAAATATAATATATAATATAATAATCATAATTATGCGAATATTTATATATATTCAAATTTTTATAAACTGATTTTAAAATGAATAAATGAAATAAATTATTTTACAACTAAAAAAAATGGAATCTAAATATAGATCTGTTTGTTTCATTAAATATCATAATTAAATATTATCTTCGATATTTTATGTACTTTTAAATATGTATACAAATATACATGCATAATGCAAAACGTTCACAATTTGATAATTATTAGATTGCGAATTTTTATGCACTTATGAAAAATTTAGTGGCACAAAAATGCAGTTCATAAAACTCTCATAATATCTAATAGATAAAACAAATTACCTCTATTTAGATTCTAATTTTTCAATTATTTTCATAGAAATATAAATTTGCATGAAAATTTAGTGTTTAGTTATCCGTGATGTATTCATAATTTATTGAAAAAAATTTTTATTATATATCATATTTCAAATTTTTATTTTTTAGTCTTCCTCATTCGCTTCTTCTATATTTATTTACATATTTGCATTCGTATTTCTTTATCTTCTTAATGTTACTACAATAGAGTAAAAAAAAAATACTACAATAGAGTAATGAAATGTTACAAAACAGGGTAATTAAATACTTAAATCCTGATGATAAATTTACCATGAATGTGTGCAAAACTACAAACAAATTTAATTGGTATATCTCATAACAACCTCATCACTAAAAGTAACAACCACTTCATTTCAAAATTTGTTCTGTGAATCGAGATGTCATCGATGTACGATAAATTTTATTATCATACTATAATATTTATTTTCAGAATGAATAAATATAATAAGCGAATGAATATTCACGTAGAGAAATACTGGACAGTAGAATGCGTAGATGCAATGAAGGAGAGGATGGAGGCAATGCACACTAAATAAGCATATAGATATATCTTACATGATTCATACAAATACGTACTGCATGTGCTTCTTGAACTGTCAGTCCTTTTTTTTTTGGCTGATTATGTCATGGCTCAATCTTTTTTTAAATGTGCTAATAATAAAATTTTTGCAGTATTAAAACTCTATGAGAAATAATACAATTTGAAAGATATTGCATTTATTAAGAAAATACATAAATAGAAGTTTGCTCATTAATTTTTAAAATTCAATTTGATGAAATCTAAACGCGGAAATATAATAAACAATATTCAATTTAAAGAATTAAAAAAACAAAAATCAAATTTTGAGATGTGACACATAAAATGAGGTATATAAAATGTTATTTTATATGGGGTATATTCGAATATTATATGTCTTTTATTCTGTATAAACATAAACTAAACGTAACTAACGTAAACTAAATATAGAATAATATAGTATATTATATACAATATTTCCTAATACACAGTAATATAATTATTTAGTATTATATAGTATATTATAAAGTAAATATATTATAACATATTAAAATAATTTTATATTATACAAACAAAAAATAATTATAATTTAATATTAAATATTATATTATATGTAATATAATTATATAATATGACATCAATATTACATGATATAATAATTTAATGCAATAATGATTATTTTGATAATAATTATTAAATATATTGTTTAATACATATTTAAATTAAATCTAATTAAATCTAATCATATAATTATATATTTTTATAATAATATAATAATAATTGATAATTACATTAATCATATAACAATTTAATATTATACTATTTTATAATGTATTAATATTTAGTATTATGTTGAATTGAGTAACATAATACGAAGGAAATATTCGCGAAACTTCATATTAATGTAGAAGAGAAAAAAATTTCCCCTGTAAACCATTAATAAAGTAATTTATGTTACTCTCGATGATATATAGAGATAATTAGAGATGATACTAGGAAAACCATTTTGTTGTGGTTCTTTTTGATTCATGTCTACATGAATTGATTTATGAAGTTTTCTAAGCAAAATGATGATCTCATTGATTCCTGTGGATCGTACAAATTATAAAAATCTGAAAGCTATTAGCCAAGTAATCGCATCATATTCTTCCTGTTGATTGTTTCAGAATCTTAATCTTTTATAACCTTGGCCTATAGAGATATCTATGAATAGTAAGGAATTCGATGATCACATTCTTCAACAAAGATCGAAAGAGGTAACAGTTTGTAGAAAGTAAATAGAAATCTTTCGATAAATTTTGTATTTTTTAATGTTTATCATGTCTAGCAATATTTTGCAACGTTTCTTGCAAAGTGATGTTTTACATGTATGTTTAGTATGATCGATCAAGTAAATAGTCTTCTAAGATGTATAATAAACATCTATAAAATGCTATTCAAATAAAAATAATAATAAATGATTGTTTTGTAAAAATTGTAAAATACTAGGAACTTTTGTAATTTTTGTAATTTTTATATATGTACTATTTTTCATAATATATTTTTCAAACACACATATATTTATTCTTTGTATCTTCTATCTTATTGTAATGAAGAGTATGAAATACAGTTTCAATAAAACAAATTGTTTATTAACCTAATATTCTAAACAATTATGAAGGACGAGATTTTTTTTAGTAATTTTTATGTCTTTGAATTTTTATTATGTATGCCATCATTTTTTGCAACATCTTTCATTTTTTGATACCTTCTAAGATGTTATGAAAAGTTATAAAATACTGTTTAAATAATAATAATAAAATGTTATTTTAATAAAATGAAATTTAAATAAAAATAGGGATAAATTCTTTTTAAAAAAAAATTTAAAATTATAATTCTAAAAAAAACCATTCTTTTATACCACTTCACACACATACTTTTATTCTTTGATGAAAGAGATTAGTCAAGACTATAAAATGCTATTTAAATAAAAATAATAATAATAAATTGTTTGTTCGCATAAATCATTTTCCAGCATTAAGAATGACAGATTTTTTGCATTAATTTTAGTACTAGAATATATTATATTATAATGAAAATATTATTTCAATATTGTTAGTTATTAATAAATAAGTATATAATTAAATAGTGTTAAAATATAAATAATCGAGTAACGATATAATGATTAAAACATGTATTAATAAAAACAAAAGAAAAATTTAAAATAAAATTTAAAATTTAAAAATATATATCTAAAAATTCAATTTTTAAAAATTTTTGTTTAGTTCACTGATTTTATCAATAAGAAAAATAATAACATTTTTTTACCAGTTATTACAATATAGCATAAATCAAATTTTAACATTATATTTTTATTATTATAAATATATTTTAAAAAGAAATTGTCATGTAGAGCGCTTCGCCTAATAATCGACACAATTTCTCAAGCATTTGCAACAAAAAATGTTAATCAAAATTTTTCTGTGTTAAGTT